GGTGAATGGTGAGAAGAGAAGGGTAGAGTGAGGAGAGGAAGGAAGGAGGGGAAGGGGGAGGCACAGAGGGGAGAATGAGAGAGGGGGAGGGGAAGGTAGGGGGAGGAGAGGTGACGAGGGGAGGGGAAGAGATAGAGGGAGAGGTGAGAAGGGGAGGCGAAGACGGGGAGAGGTGAGGAGGGGAGAGGAAGAGAGAGAGGGGAAGGGAGGAGGGGGAAGGAGGGGGACAGGGAGGAGGAGGAGCAGAGGGGGAAGGAGGGGAGGGGGAGTGGAAGGAGGGGGAGTGGAGAGGGGCAGAGGGAGGAGGGGGAGTGGAGAGGGGCAGAGGGAGGAGGGGGAGTGGGAGTGGGAGAGGGAGAGGGAGAGGGAGAAGGAGAGGGAGAAGGAGGGGGAGAGGGGGAAGGGGAGATGGGGAAAGAGGGAGGAAAAGATAGATAGAGAGAGAGAGAGGGAGAGAGAGAGAGAGAGAGAGAGAGAGAGAGAGAGATTGGGATGGGATAAGAAGGGAAAAAAAGAGAGGATACAACTGACACAAATAATTCCATTCAAGGTCACAATATCCTTACGAAAAACTGACACCAGCAATGAAACCATCATTGAGATCTTCCAAATCCCGACCGCAAATGAGAACCTGTCACAACCACAACTTGAGCACAGCTTTGTGTACCATGCTCAGCATACAGTAAGTGTCAATTTGAACATCATATGTCTATATTGAAATTATTGAATGAGATTTAAATCCAGTTAATACACAGAGGATTAAGAAAAACAAACCCAACCTACTTTCTCAGATAAGCATGCTAAAGCCAGACAATGAATATGAGGTGTGTCTATCTGCTGGTGATTTGCAGCATGAGGGGATGCCTTTAATATATGAAGGATGCTACAGAGTCATGACACTTCCTGCTGTTGACAATACTACGGGTGTGCTATCCTGAATAGTTGTTATGCTGTTGATAAAAAGCCTGAATAGAACACTACATCAATGGTACATCTACAAAGAATCAATTTGAATTTTAATATGTAATTTTTTTTTTCAGGAATATATGCAGCTCTAATAGCAATGGTCATTTTGCTCTTGACTGCTGCATTTATATGGGGAATATACCATCTGTTTCTCCACAAGTTTCTTTCTGATATCTTTTCAGGAAAGATAAGGTTCGTTTATGTTTTTTACCACATTCAAGAGCTGATATATTTGATTAATAATTTTCAGATCATAGAAGCATTACTATTATTATTATTATTATTATTATTATTTTACAAAAAGTATAACTATAATATACTTAATGTTTTGATAAAAAAAGAAATTTCCTCAAATGGTTTCCTAACTTGTAGTATCAAATTATATATGAATTAAAGTGGCTACTGCATACTGTCCTTTCCACAGGATAAGTACTCCTAGACAAGAATCTCAGTTTAATGGTGTCCTGCAAGAATCTCAAGACATTGAAAATGCATGAAACACACAAATTTCCTCCAGAATTTAAAACAACGGACAGTGAAAATATAAGTGTTTCATAGTTTTCATTCATAAGACTTTTCCAGACTTTTCAATGGGTGTCAAAATGGTACATGCCAATTAATATGAACAAGCATTTTGAAAATATAATTGTTTCATAGCTTTCAGTCATAAGTTACCAGACTTTTCAATAGGTGTCTACATAGTACATGCCAATTCCTTAACATGAACCAGATTTTCCATACAAATTATTTTTTGATACTATTTATTCACACATTCCTATTCTTTCTTTACTTCCTCCAATCTTTTTACCTGGAAGATCTGCTAACTATGCTTTGAGAAGAGGGGAAAATGAGATATAATACAGAATATAATTCTAATTGAATTGTGTCACTATGATTAACCTATGATCACTGATCAACCAAACGGTGTGCTGAAATGAGAAATCAAAGGGTACCTTGTACCAAATAGACTGAAATGAGACATCAGTGGCTAACTAGCAGAAACTGTCTTGCAAGTGACTTGAAAAGGTACTCACTGAATGATAGCAATATCCACTGGGTTACGGTCAGGAAGAGCAAGAACAATTCTTGGGTCGCAACTCATGACCCACCAGTTGACGACACGCTGGAAACTCTCACTGTCCACAAGCCACCAAGAGAAAGATTCCGCTTCTAGCAATAATGTTTGCAGGAGTGATGACTGGTAAAAAGAAATTAGTAATTTGTAGTGGTCAGTATGAAAGATGAAAAACATTATGGATGGACATTATGATCATGACAATCATTAAAGTAAACTTTTAAGATTTGAAAATTCCTTTCATAAGATTGGATTCAGATAACCACTTTCAATGTATTTCTTTGTTAACTTCTCACAAATTGTAAATGATTAAAGAAAAAAAAAGGTAATGCCAACATATTCTGATCTCTGTATGATAAGTTTAATAATATAAAGTTATCTGAGATATGTTTTCCTATAATACAGTTTAAATCCATTTCTCTGCAAACTGCTAATCTTACCTGTCTCACACTAGGCTCCATGGATATCCTGACCAGCAGGTTAAGTAAGCAAGTGTGGAGTTTGACAGCACTTGGTGCCTCCTGGCCTTGCCTGTAAAAATACAAAAAGACACAATAGCAAACAATCAAAAAGTATGCAATAAGTATAAAACATATAAAATGATTGTTATAAGGAGATGAGAAATAAAGGGCTAAAAAATTGCACTTATGTACCCTTGGACTTCTGCAGCAGAGCTGGAACTTGATGTTGGAGACATGGCTGACTGGACTACCTTATTCCAATTAATTTGTACAAGAACACCACCAATAAAGTTATGGCACTCTGGCAGGTACTGCTCAACAACCTGCAATCACAAAGGAAAGAGAAAAGATGATTCGCTTAAAGAAATACAACTCTTTCAATAACATCCATCAATCAACACATTTGTAATGACACAAAAGGAATAAGAAACTAGGGTTAAAATGAAAAATAAATCAATAGTTAAGATGAAACATTCACATAAAATGACTTTAGCAAATGACCTTAGTGAAAATAAGCGTGTCTTGGAGGGATGGGTGAAGATGGTGCCACGGAAGGGCAGAGAAGTGAGCATGGATGACCGCCAGAACATGGCTCTTGACCTCCTGAGCAGCAAACATGGTACAATAGTACTCAAGGGTCAAGGACAACACACTGCTTCCTGGTGATATAAAGGATAAAATTATTTATAGGCTTTATTTCTTCCTATAGGTTACTAAATTAAGTTTAGGTATAAAATACAAAAAAGGTATCAAGCACTTTTAGATTCATAATGGAAATACAAGCACAAACATCTAAATAACACAAAGGAAACATGCCTATATTACATCACTAATATCAAAGTATTATCCCCTATAATCCAGATGATGTGACTATCATGTAATGAAAAGATCTAGCTTGACCGGTGCATGACACGAACATGCTGTCACGAGAAAATTTGACTGAGGGCTGGGGTGATGGGAAAGACTTCCCATGAGTGCACAAAGCTCTTGGAGGGTGATTAGATTTAGTGAGTGTTTAGGAAGGAGCTCGTTCACTATTTCCATTGAAATACTAACTGCACTGCTGTGGCTTGCAGTGTAGCTAGTAATACAAAAAATTAAATATTATGAAATTTTTAAAAAATTTCACAAATATCAAAATGTTATTGTTATTGTTATTACACTGAATTATGGACTACCTGGAGAGATGACATGGAGTTTGTGCAAGGAAAAGTCTATTACCATTAGGACAAAGCAAATCAAATAACAAATATAGACATTGAGAAATGGCATAAAAGCTAAAAATGCTTATGCAGAAAAAGAGAGAGTAACAATGGAAAGTGGAGGCATGGTATCTTGCCACATCACATGAGTGTCCTTGTGCACCCAGCCTATAAGCCACACACTTGTCAGAATGGCTTCTCAAGTAAGCCTAATGCCTATAATCTGACCAGGTGTGGGCAGTGAAGCTTCCAGATCTAAAGGGTTAAATGAAAACTTCTGTCACATGATATGACTGTCTTCCCTATACAACCAACTCACCTGGCAGAAGTTCGTGCATGAAGCCAACAGAAGCTGCAAACATTGCTACCATGGCATCAGCTGAGGTTGTATCACTAGGGGCCCATGGGAGTAGTAAGCGTATGTCGTGAGTGAGATGACGCAACCACGGAGAGAAGGACTGACGATCGCGGCCTCCAAGTGGTGTCACCCATCCAGCAAAGAGGCTATCCACCCCTGACCAGACTTCCCGTACCACTAGTTGTAAAGAATACTTAGCTGATATTCTCAATAATAAAGGATCATTTTTTATTTTGTTATGACATTTTCAAGAATGTTGATTATGAAGAAACAAGATTAAAACTATCCTTTGACCAAAATGTTTATAAGGAATAGTTAGCAATTTTATTAACTTATTTTCACAAATATAGTAAAGAATTTTTTTAGACTTACTTTCCTCTTGTGGAGTTCCATATTTTGTGTGAAAGGCAGAGATGATGTACGCATGTGAAATCAGCCCCAAAAATGTGGCTATGGGTTGGGTATGAAGTCGGTACTTGGGATAGAGGCCATATAAGCCAAATTCAAGACGCTGCTTCACAAAGTAGCTTGAAAGCATTTTTAAGGTATCCTCCACCTGTATAAAAATGTTCAAAGGGATGAAAATATGCATTTTCTTCTGCTTGGCAAAGTCTATCTTCAATAACAATTTACTATTTTATTTTCCGAAATTAGAATAACTGTAGCAATTAATTAGAAATATCATCTCAAGGTAGAAAGTTCCTATACGCACCATACACTGTGACAGGATTGTCTGATGTTGTGCATACTCTTTGATGGCTTGATTTAAAGCATTTCGTTCCATTTCAGGACTAAAGGTAGTGATGCCTACTGATATCTTATTCATCAAATCATACCAGAGGCCAGAACTTACACCTCCACAGTCTTCCTGTTGAAAAGAATCAAGTGAGGTTATATTACATTCTTAAAGCACAAAAATTATAAATAACACAAAGGAAACATGCCTATATTACATCACTAATATCAAAGTATTATCCCCTATAATCCAGATGATGTGACTATCATGTAATGAAAAGATCTAGCTTGACCGGTGCATGACACGAACATGCTGTCACGGGAAAATTTGACTGAGGGCTGGGGTGATGGGAAAGACTTCCCATGAGTGCACAAAGCTCTTGGGGGGTGATTAGATTTAGTGAGTGTTTAGGAAGGAGCTCGTTCACTATTTCCATTGAAATACTAACTGCACTGCTGTGGCTTGCAGTGTAGCTAGTAATACAAAAAATTAAATATTATGAAATTTTAAAAAAAATTCACAAATATCAAAATGTTATTGTTATTGTTATTACACTGAATTATGGACTACCTAGAGAGATGACATGGAGTTTGTGCAAGGAAAAGTCTATTACCATTAGGATAAAGCAAATCAAATGACAAATATAGACATTGAGAAATGGCATAAAAGCTAAAAATGCTTATGCAGAAAAAGAGAGAGTAACAATGGAAAGTGGAGGCATGGTATCTTGCCACATCACATGAGTGTCCTTGTGCACCCAGCCTATAAGCCACACACTTGTCAGAATGGCTTCTCAAGTAAGCCTAATGCCTATAATCTGACCAGGTGTGGGCAGTGAAGCTTCCAGATCTAAAGGGTTAAATGAAAACTTCTGTCACATGATATGACTGTCTTCCCTATACAACCAACTCACCTGGCAGAAGTTCGTGCATGAAGCCAACAGAAGCTGCAAACATTGCTACCATGGCATCAGCTGAGGTTGTATCACTAGGGGCCCATGGGAGTAGTAAGCGTATGTCGTGAGTGAGATGACGCAACCACGGAGAGAAGGACTGACGATCGCGGCCTCCAAGTGGTGTCACCCATCCAGCAAAGAGGCTATCCACCCCTGACCAGACTTCCCGTACCACTAGTTGTAAAGAATACTTACATGATATTCTCAATAATAAAGGATCATTTTTTATTTTGTTATGACATTTTCAAGAATGTTGATATGAAGAAACAAGATTAAAACTATCCTTTGACCAAAATGTTTATAAGGAATAGTTAGCAATTTTATTAACTTATTTTCACAAATATAGTAAAGAATTTTTTTAGACTTACTTTCCTCTTGTGGAGTTCCATATTTTGTGTGAAAGGCAGAGATGATGTACGCATGTGAAATCAGCCCCAAAAATGTGGCTATGGGTTGGGTATGAAGTCGGTACTTGGGATAGAGGCCATATAAGCCAAATTCAAGACGCTGCTTCACAAAGTAGCTTGAAAGCATTTTTAAGGTATCCTCCACCTGTATAAAAATGTTCAAAGGGATGAAAATATGCATTTTCTTCTGCTTGGCAAAGTCTATCTTCAATAACAATTTACTATTTTATTTTCCAAAATTACAATAACTGTAGCAAATAATTAGAAATATCATCTCAAGGTAGAAAGTCCCTATACTCACCATACACTGTGACAGGATTGTCTGATGTTGTGCATACTCTTTGATGGCTTGATTTAAAGCATTTCGTTCCATTTCAGGACTAAAGGTAGTGATGCCTACTGATATCTTATTCATCAAATCATACCAGAGGCCAGAACTTACACCTCCACAGTCTTCCTGTTGAAAAGAATCAAGTGAGGTTATATTACATTCTTAAAGCACATAAATTATATCTTTAACTAAAAATATGATGTTTATACTTTTAGAGAGCATACAACCTATAATTTACAAATATTTTCACACTCAAAAGAATGTCACAAGAAATGGTACTTACTTGAGTAGAGGCAGAAATCTGCAACATAACATTCAGTACCTCTGTGTAGTGCTCAGGAAACTTGAATGATAGTAGGCTTCTAAGGTGGACTCGATAAAGCTTGCATGAAACAAAAACAAACTTATTTAAACAACTATAAAAAATAAATGACTAATAGTATATAATACAAGATTTTCACAAAAACTTCAAACCTTCAAAAATTAATCTTCAAACATTCTGCTTAATCTTACGATGCAAATCTTGTCAATTTCTCACCTCAAGTACCATTAGAAGAGTTGGATTTGGTCCTGGTAAGAGAGACATAAAAGCTGCAGCAATGGTGTTGATCAGTTCTGACCTGTCACTCGAATTTGGACTTGACTCTGCTAGCCATCTTTCGATGTCGAACTGAATGAAGCAAAATAATGACTTGCATTAATGTGGAATAACTGACAAGAAAGAACTGCTTTAAGATTTTGCATTAACTAAACATTACACACATATAAAATTATAATAATTTGTGAAAATTGTTAAGTAATACATGTTTATCTTGACAGGTGGTAAATATATCTTGGAACTAACATATCTTCTGTGCAAGAGATATTGTCTGAAGTTTCACAATATCAGTGGACTGTTTTGACCTACTGATTCCTCTCACATAACAGACTGTCAATAACCTACCCTTTTTCAATATGTAATCCTGGATGAATAGGGGAGGTACAAGTCCACACCTCTTACATTATAAGA